ACCTCAAGTTTCTTGCGCTTTCGGCAGGAGTATTGTTCGTGGAATCGATACGAGTAGTCGATCTGGTCAGCAACGAAGCTGTCGATATTCATGATTTACCAAGTATTGTTGCTGTAGCTTCGTGAGCTCGCAACACCTCCTATAGTTTAGACTATCTTTAGTCAATGAAGCGTGTGATGCAGATAGTGTGCTCCCCTTTATGTTGCGCCGTTGCTTGTAGTAGACCATGGCTGGGGTCGTGCTTGTGACGCCGAGACACACTGTGGAGCTCAGCAGGCGCTCAGCAGAGTGGAGCACAGATGCCACCACCGGATTTGGTCCACGAGAAAGTGCTAGACATCCGGGCTCCCAACTTTACGCCTTGGACATAGCTCGATAGTACGAGCCATAGGCGCGCGGAACTAGGCTGATGCCAGCCGTCGCTTGATGTCTGAAACTCGTCATTGGTCCCGGCGTGAAATTCTCGCCACTGTTGCAGCACCTCCGCACTGAACCCTGGGCTGCGGCTGCGCATCGCATGCCTCTGCTACACTTCCTACCACAAACCGCTCTTAATCACGATAGTATTGTCGCCTGCCCTATTTCCTTATCGCGCTCTTGAGCCGCAACAGATAGGACCACTTATAGCCGCACACGGGCCTGCGGCTACGTTTCATCAACGTCATCGCGATCTTCGAGCAACGCTACACCTAGAGCTTTTCACAGGACCCATACTAAACATGAACAGCACCAGACACAGACTGCTTTACCAGCTCAACAGCCGCTGGATTTACGGGAAGATTGTGAGCCACTGCTCCTGATACTATTTGATGGTCGACTAATTATTTCCAGCCGCTGCTGCATTCGATAGTATTCCTGCTCCAAATGGCGGCCGTCAGCATGCTCACGCGCAAGTACAACCAGTACTATGCGGCGCGTCCAGTTCTCACCACGATGATCACCAACGCCGTACGTGCTCCCTTGTTATAAACGCCATGCGCATCGAGTGGCATGGCGCGCGACCGCCACACCGCATGTTGCGACTTCTGCGCCGAACCCGACATATCTTAGACTTGACGAAATAGGGAGGCTAACACCATCTGTAGGTGTTGGGTGGTATCGCGGACACAGTAGCCCAGACGCTCACTGCTGTGCGGGAGCGCGCAGTACGCAAGAAGGGCGGCCCAGGCAAGGACGACTTCCTGGCGATCGAAATCCACGAGCTCGACAGACGGAACCCGTTCAACGAGAACGACCTTATCCCCGACTCGAAGATACTCCCCCCGCCTTTCGATTTCGAGCGAACCACGAGATTCATGTCCTACGGTTTCCTCATGTCGCCAATCCAGCACAGGTGGTTCGGCTTCCTGTCCAGGACTTTCCCCGTTTCAAAGACTGCGACATGGTTGCCAGCACTCAAGCGCGTGGCTTTTGATCAATTCCTGTTCGCCCCAGCTGGTCTGGCTGCCTTTTTCACCTTCATGACTGTTGCTGAGGGTGGTGGTAAGCGTGCTGTGCAGCGCAAGTTCCAGGATGTATACGTGCCTGCGCTCAAGGCCAACTACATGGTCTGGCCGGCCGTGCAGCTCATCAACTTCCGAGTCATGCCCATCCAATTCCAGATTGTAAGCATTTTGCTCCAGGTCATAATGCTAGCGACTAACGTGTGCCAGCCATTTGTATCTACCGTGGGTATTGCTTGGACAGCTTACCTCTCTTTGACGAACTCGGCCGATGAAGCCTAAGCCTATCCAATTATGCGAACGAATTCCAATGTTTAAATATTCTACGTACACATAAGTTCGGGTCATGGTGGCATTGGGTGATTCCCCTTGAGCGTCTCGCGCGTTAGCATGTTTGGTTGGGCATTTGCACGGCGTCAGGTTAGTTGACTTTGATACGGTCGATGTGTTATGTACAGTCTTGAATTTGATACAGAATGAAACTATCATCATGCACATATATCGTTCGCCTTGCGTGTATGCTTGGATTGTGTGTTTTACCAAGTCTCTTCATGTGGAGAGATCATGCAAGACGCGTTGCAACGATACCCCAACACCACTGAGTACTCTCGGCCGCGGGGGCTGTCGACCTTGGCTGCCCACTTTGTCAAGCCCCAAGACGCGCGGGCAGCAAAATGTGTTTTACCTCAGCTAATTTCTCTAGTCCGGTCACGTCAACTTGCTTTTTTGTGGTTCGATAAGGAGCGCGAAGCTTTGCATGCAGGAGAACCCGTGGATTGCCCCGCTACACCCCACCAAGCCTGCCCATGACGATCTGAAGCTCGACAACAAACATTGAACACCTCCCACGCTTCTTCCTTTCTTCAACTCATTGACGTAAGTGGACCTTTACTTGAGATATATAGCTGGCAGCTGTATACTTCGATTGATGCAACTAGAACTTCATTATACTCACACCATCACAGTACTACTATACACCCACCATGTCTCTCTCTAACAAGCTGTCAATCGCCGACGTCGACCTCAAGGGCAAGCGCGTCCTCATCCGAGTGAGTATATCCAGGACTTATGTGTGAAGCACGAACACGAATCTAACCGCGACACACCAGGTCGACTTCAACGTCCCTCTCGACTCCGACAAGAACATCACCAACAACCAGCGCATCGTCGGCGCTCTCCCCACAATCAAGCACGCTGTCGACAATGGCGCCAAGGCCGTCATCCTCATGTCGCATCTCGGCCGCCCAGACGGAAAGCCAAACGCAAAGTACAGTCTCAAGCCGGTTGTTCCCGAACTCGAGAAGCTCCTCGGCAAGAGCGTGACCTTCACAGACGACTGCGTCGGCAAGTCGGTCGAGGACACCGTTAACGGCGCTAGCGGCGGCCAGGTCATCCTACTGGAGAACTTGCGCTTCCACGCCGAGGAGGAGGGCAGCTACAAGGATGACGAGGGCAAGAAGCAGAAGGTTGACAAGAGCAAGGTCGAGGAGTTCAGGAAGGGCTTGACTGCTCTTGGTGACATTTACATCAGTGAGGGACTCCATAGTACTATGTGTAGATGGAGAGTACTAATCAATTACAGACGATGCCTTCGGCACTGCCCACCGCGCACACAGCTCCATGGTCGGCGTCGACCTCCCACAAAAGGCATCTGGCTTCCTTGTCAAGAAGGAGCTCGACTACTTTGCGCAAGCGCTCGAGGAGCCCAAGCGCCCCTTCCTCGCCATCCTCGGTGGTGCTAAGGTCTCCGACAAGATCCAGCTGATCGACAACTTGCTCGGCAAAGTCAACAGCCTCATCATCTGCGGAGGCATGTCATTCACCTTCAAGAAGACACTCGAGGGCGTCAAGATCGGTGACAGCTTGTTCGACGAGGCCGGCAGCAAGACTGTCAAGGACCTTGTTGAGAAGGCGAAGAAGAACAACGTCAAGATTGTCCTGCCCGTTGACTACATCACCGCCGACAAGTTCGACAAGGACGCCAACACTGGTTACGCTGAGGACAAGGACGGTATTCCAGATGGCTGGATGGGTCTCGACTGTGGTGACAAGTCGATCAAGCTGTACAAGGAGGCCATTGGCGAGGCGCAGACCATCCTCTGGAACGGTCCCGCCGGTGTATTCGAGTTTGAGAAGTTCGCCAAGGGCACAAAGGCGACACTCGATGCTGCCGTTGACGCCGCGCAGAGCGGCAAGATTGTCATCATCGGCGGTGGTGACACAGCCACTGTTGCCGCCAAGTACGGCGTAGAAGACAAGCTGTCCCACGTCTCGACTGGTGGTGGTGCGTCGCTCGAGCTGCTCGAGGGCAAGGACCTGCCCGGTGTATCCGCCCTGTCAAGTAAGTAAACCAGTCACTCATAGAAGTGAACGGCAGCTCAAGATGAGGGAAGGTATATCTTCGAAGTTATGATTGTAGCTATAGCTCTTTTCGGTTCAATAAAGATACCGCATTCCACCTCGTGGCCTATGGATGTGATGCGTGGAGTCTTTGGGCTCACTTTCTCAACCATGTATGTGTCTCGCGCTTGCCATATCCTCATTCGTTTGAAGGGTCGTCATGTCTTCCGTTCGAATCGCGTCTGTTCGTGTCGACCATAGGAATCGCTCATTTGCCCAGCTTCTTAAGCTCCTCCCTGGTTGTTGTTAGCACTATCTTTATCTCCAGTAGATGAATTTCCTACCTCAGCTGAACTGCAAAATCGTCATTCGTGTCATCATCGTCCCAGCTCTCTTCCCAGAGATGTGTGTTGCCGTTGGGGATCTGTGTCTCCTCCTCAGTCCAGTCTGCAGACACGTTAGCTTGATGCATCCCCCTTCAACCATTCCAACGTACCCTCTACAGGAAAGTCCTCAAACTCGTCATCCTCCTCTAGCTGTGTCGCGGGCTTCTTCTCGGGCGCCAGTGGTTGCTCGCCGTTCTTGGAGTCGCTGACGACGGCCTTCTTCATATCGTTGCTGCCTTGTGCTGAGCCGGACATTGTGACTTTTTCGGGAGATGCGATCGGCGATATATTATGGTATGTTTGGGTGAGTCGAGTTGTGATTACGCGGTGTTGTGGCTTTGGTGAGCTTTGGTGATGCGGCTCTAACAGCGGAGGAGCGGCGGCGGCGATTGTCCGCAAGGCTTAGCGCGACGTCACGTGGTGCACCTGGCAACTGGGTTCGCGGGGTACGAGTCCGTCGAGGTTGCAGCTTGGCTCCGAGAAAGTTCCATGTGATGCATGGCGGTGTTCTATTATCGCCCTCGTACCTCATCTACTCTTTTCAAGCCAAACCTGGAGTGCATTGGAGGGTAAAGTACGGATAATGAACATGACGTACACGTACTTTAGCTCCGAGTAGCCGGACGAAGCTGTAAGCACCGCCCGTCTGGTGGGCTTTAGTAGGTGTCTAGACACGCGCTCAGTGTCTTAGCTGGCGTATCTGCTTCACGCTGAGATTTGAATATACTTACTACTTTTCTTCATTCAATCTTTTCCGTGTCTCTCTTCCTCAGCCTCTTCTGGTAACCTTTTTTCGACCAGTCTCTCCGCGGCGCGGGATTATTCATCGAGCATGTTCAAAGTCGGCGGTTGGCTCAAGGGCCATACGCCTGGGCATTCGAAGAGCTTAGATTCCTTGAGCGAAATGGCACAGAGTAAGTTCAAAAGCATGCATAGGTCAGGCAGGTACTAATACAACACAGTTGAGGATGCCATGAGCGGTACGAACTCCACCCAATACAGTGGCGCAGACAAGTCTAATCACACGCGAGCACAGCCGTCACCTATATCATGGCCGATGATATCGAAAGCGCCGAAGCACACCTTAGCAAAGGATCCAGTCCATTCCACCAGGTACACACCTACCTTCCAGCCCTCGGGCCCATACTTCGGTTCTAGTCTTATATCGTGTAGCTCGGAGCGGGAGTGTGTGTCTTCATACGGGCGACGTTGGGGTTCGAGCCGGAAATCGTACGCGAAGGTCTGATCACATATTCAACATGATGTCAAGGAGATGCAGTGACTGACATGGTCGACAGCTGCCAATGCCCTATCAGTGGCCGAGAACTCCGCGTACGAGCACCAACGCCGTGTTAGCAAAGATCCGAACGCGTATAAATCGCCTATATACCCTCCGGGCACCGAGTACGCGGTATGTCAGGCAGAGGCACAGCTGATGAGTGCCGTTGTTGGTGTGCTCAACGAGAGCTTGACGGAGGCTATCAAGAGTTTCTACAAATTGAGGAAAGCATACCTTGCGCTGGAGGGTGTGATGGAAAACGAGAAAAAGTTTCTAGCGGAGAGGAGCACGAGTAGCGTCAACTCGGTGGGATCGCGCCCCTCTTCCAAGGGCTCGGTTCGATCAATTGGGGCAAGCAATGCTCTGAAGAGCTCTCAGGGTCCTACGTCTACTGGGCCGTCCGCTGCAGCATCGACTTCCAGTCTGAAGCAGACTACTACAGTGACTGCACCAGCTGCGAAGGCCACAGATGACGATGATGACGACGTCGACTTCGTGGACGCCCCAGAAGATAAAACTGGTGGTGAAACGCCTGTGGAATACATGGGGCATCTGAACGTCGCCGCTGACAAGGGTGCTACTGTCGAGCTAGACAATGCTCAAAAGAAGGTGGATGTCGCGGCAAGTTCGGCACCAGGGCTTCCTACCACGAACGAAAACCCATCCAACTCGCTACCAGACGCTATCGAATACTTCGAGAAGCTTACCTTGAACGATGAGGGAGATGCTGATGCAGATATCGCGTCGTTCAGCAACCACCCAGTCGATGTGTTCATCCTCTCCGGATCCAACTTTTGTTTCGGCATGTTATTGCTCATTCTCTCGTTCATCCCGCCGTCTTTTGCTGGATTACTGAAGATCGTCGGCTTCAAGGGCGATAGGGAGCGAGGAATGCGAATGCTGTGGCAAGCGACTAAATTCCACAACATTCACGGTGCCATGGCTGGAGTTGTGCTTATGGGATACATCAATGGCTTCACCAACTTCTGCGACATACTTCCTACAAAGGGCGAGGGAGCATACCCGAAGGAACGGTGTCTGGCTTTGCTCCGCTACATGCGCGCAAGATACCCCAAGAGTCATCTCTGGCTACTTGAGGAGTCCAGGATGCTCGCCTCTGAGAAGAAGTTGGAAGAGGCTGTTCAATTCATGCACGAGGTGGGCGAGTCGAAGCTAAAACAGCTTGAGGCGCTCACGTGGTTTGAACGCAGCTTGAACAACATGTACATGCACGACTACGAAGCTACCGCTTTCGCTTTCGAGAAGTGCATTGGCCTCAACAACTGGTCCCACGCGCTGTACTACCACATCATCGCCGCCTCATACGTCGAACTCTACCGAAAGCACAAGACCACCGACCCGACCAAAGCGAAGGAATACGGTGTGAAAGCAGAGGAATACATGAAGAAAGTCATGCCCAACGTCGGAAAGAAGAAGTTCATGGCACGCCAACTCCCCTTCGACATCTTTGTCGCACGCAAGATCCAAAAATGGGAAGCACGCGCCAAGGAATGGAACTGCGACATCGTCGACGCCGTCGGCGTCTCTCCACTCGAGGAAATGATCTACTTCTGGAACGGATACAAGCGCATGCGAGACGACCACCTCCAAGTCTCCCTCGCCAACCTCGCCTGGAGCGAATCGCCAGCCAACCCACACTGGGAGAAGGAGGGTGTAGATGAAAAATCCATTCTCCACGTCTTGCGCGCTGCTACCCTCCGTAACATGGACCAAACCGCTGAAGCCAAGGCCATCCTAGAGAAAGAAGTCTTGCCTGTTGACAAACTACTCATCACGGGTAACTTCAAAGATAACTGGACTGCGCCGTGTGCGCGCTACGAGATGGCCGCGAATATCTGGCGCGAGGCTGATGCGGATGGGCATCCGGAGAAGAATCCGCAGATGCTGGTGCAGTGTAAGGATTGGTTGGATGAGGTTACGAAGATGGGTGGGTTTGATTTGGATGCTAGGTATGTCGATGGTCTCTGCGATGGGTGATGTGTTGAACACTAACTTGTGGGTAGGATTGGTATGAAGATTACGACGGGTAAGGAGACGCTAAGGAAGTTTGGGGTGCAGTGTTAAAGGGTCGTTGAGGTTGTGGTTGTTGGGCAAGAGGGGGGTACATATAGATGGTATAGAGGTAGAGATCACGGCAGGGGCACGAAGGCTTTGTATTGTTACATTCCTTGCGAATATGCCCAAAATAGCATTGTTCATGCTCCATACAGACTACTATAGTGAGTGAGTAAGCACAATCTTAGATACCACTCTGCCATTGACACCCCGACGCATACAAGGACTCAAATACTCTGGCATATACACCACCATTCACCCAATCTTCCGCATTTCCTCGCGCAGTGGCCTGATAGTTGCTCGCTACCACGCTTACTACATGAGCCCCGGTGATGCTCATTCCTCCACATACGACCAAAGTGGGGAGTGGAGAGAAGACACGATATCCAACGAAGCATGCCCAGGCGAGATTATTACTAGGCAGGTGGAAACATGTAGCGCGGAGCAGTTACCTAGTAAGAACAAGTCCTATTGTGTAGAGATTCTGTACGCTAAGAAGAACAAGCAAAATTGACCATGGCCGCAGCATGCTAGTGTTGAGCAGTATCTTATGCCTCCGAGATCTGGGTTGCGCGCAGACTCGATCCTGCCTAGGGCGCACACCCTGTGCACCGGCACAGTATTCAACCACCAAACCATCCTTGCCAGAACGATTTCTCAACGACTTGATTGCCAGCAGCAGGTTCCGGCGAGGAGGGCTGCTGATGCTCCTCAACATTCTGTACGACTACCAAGATATATGTCAGTCCAACATCTTTGCAGGATTGCATGAAGACTTACCTGGCTGGTAGCGGTACCGCGAGACGATAGCATTCATCTCTTTCTCGATTCGGTCGTAGTCAAAAGCATCCAATAGGTTCCAAACTCGAATCATAGCTATGATGTCCTCATGCACCTTGCTGCAGGGACCTTCGTTGAACCATTCAGCGGATTTGTCGATGTCCTTCTTTTCCACCTCTTTTTGGTCGTTGTCGCATTGCCAGAATGCATGGTCCAGGATGATTATGGTATCAAGAGCGCACATGAGCAACGCTCTACCGAACTGGGGTGCGGCTACTATGCTCACAGCTGCAACGCCCGTGCCGAGTACAGCTCCAGGCACAGCTCCGAAGCCTGACCCTACCATGACGGCACCAGCGCTACCCAAAGCTTGCGTAAACAACTGCACCACGTTTGCAGTAGTGTTGCTGACCAGAACGTTCGCCATACATCGCCAAGCGATGTCTCCGCTGATGCCGTGGAAATTGAATATACCACTGATTGCGCTCACAATCATTGGTGCTACCACTGTGGTTGAGACACTGCCGGAACAGGCCAGCGGAACCGTGCTCGTTCGTACGGCGTGCTTGTATAATCGCAGAGACTCTTTTATAGCTGCTTCGACCTTTACGTCGACCAGGACTCCCTGTGCTTGAGAAAACATGGCTCTCACTTGGTTGTTCTTCAGATTGCTGGATGTGACTTCAACAAGATTCTTGATGGATTCCGCATCCTCTGCACTATCATCAGCTCAAACATCCTAAAAGATCAAAAGCATTCAATGCTTACGCTCGCTTGTGAAGATTGGACCGGCCATGCACGGATACCCTTGAGAGGTGTCCACGAATGCCTCCTTGATCTTCGCTTTGAACAGATCAACACGTTCTGCGACTCTGGCATCAACGAACCTGCGACGCTCCTTATATGTCAGTTGGTCGTCGTTCTCCTCCTCGGGCACTTGGCCCTTGTACGTCGCCCTGAGTAGATCCACTTTGGAGCATATCACCACGACAGGGATGGTACTCTTGCACTCGTTCAGCACTCTGAAGAGATCTCTGTCGGACTCGCGGGCGGGTCGACTTTCGCGTTCGGATCCGGCTAGTATACAATACCTGCTATAATTAGCCTCCACGAAACTCCATAAAAAGAAGGACTTCATACCAGATGGTATGGACTCTCAACGGGAGGTTAGGCTCTCTGGATCGGGTTGTCAAGAAATTTTTCACAGCGCTGGCTTCCTTGTTGGAAGCTCCGGACTGGAAGCCTTCCGAGTCGTGAACGATGTATGGAAGATCTGGTCCCGTAATCTCTTCCTCTACATCATGCTTTTGGTGTGTATTGGCATTGACCTGAGACTAGACCAAACAATTAGCAATGACAGCTGCTTCGCCGAAGGGGACATACAAGGTTGCCTTTGAGGACTTTGTTTATTAGCGAAGACTTTCCTACCCCAGCATCACCACAAATCAAGATACGGACTTTCTCGAGCCGTTTCTGCATGGCCGGTGACGGATTTTGCCAGAAGATTTCACCTTCATCTGGAATGGCCCGGTGACGAAACAAAGCGAGAGATTTGGAGAAAGCCCAGCCGCCAGACACATGGCTGATGCTGGGGTTCTCATCGAGCACTTGATACACAGATGGATGGATGAAAGTCCCGACAGGTGCTACAGACGAGAGTCAGCTACGATAATCAGATAGAATGGGGCATACATACAAGTGGGGCAATAGCCCATCAATACGTGTTCGTCGAATATGCATCGAGGTTTGATTGTCCAAACAAATCTGTGCGCAGGACCCCAGTACGAGCTGTTGATCTTCACCTGGAACTCGTCCTTGCGGTTCTCATGTATGTCGCAGAGATCCCAAAGGCGAACACTAATTCCATTTTCAAGTGTCAGGGACGTTTCTGACGGCTTGCTCGAGGTCTTTTGGCGCTGCGATTGTGGCGGCATGACCAACTTCACGGGATCGTCCATGTAAGGTTTAGGAGGCTCCTGGATGTACGCTGTGTCTTTGTATTCCAGCCCAATTGGTCGAAATCCAAGCGTGAGACCAAGAGCTTCGGCTTCAGAGAGCACCCACTGTAGTGGATAAAGTGACAGACCATCCTTGGAGTTCGCGCCTCCTAGGTCCTCATGTGTACCAACGAACCAAGCCTGTAAGATTCTGTGTTTTGATGATGCTGCGTTGATATCGGGTGCCGCCGTCTCTGGCTTGAACTGCTCTCTCTCCTCATTTAGGGCCAATGCATGACGGTAATGCTGAATATGGGGGTGGGGCAAAACATCGAACAAGCCATGGTCTGTGAATGCCTTCACAGTGTCGAAAGCCCCAACAAAACGTACTACGGGAGGTGTTGTACTGCGGATGAAGTGATGATAGGTCTGTCCGCCCACGTTGTTGTTCGACGCTCTGACAGTGGGGTAGAGCTCCAACATCTCTTGGTAATGCTTTGAGAAATCGTTCAAGTCCTTGGGTACATGCATGTAACAGAGGAGGTTCGCCACGGCACGAACTGTAAATGCGCCACGGCTGAATCCGAAGAAATAGATCTCGTCGTTCGGGCCATTGGTATTGCGACAGCAGTACTCGTACACTTTTTCGATCTCGGCTGGAAGTCCAGACCCAAAGGCGCCCGAGAACAAGTTCTTCATGGCATTTTCCTTGTCTCCAAGACCAGTGAAATACTTTCGTTGCTGTTGCCACCGTTTTCCTGTCACCTGGTCCGTAACAGGGCCTTCTTTCACGGATGCAAAGGCTCGAAACACCGTGCTGATATTCCCTTGTGGGCTTCCGAACGTGCCATCTGGCCCACCCCAGGTTCCGTCGACGCAAACGATCAAGCGCTTTGGTAGGGGCCCGTCCTGAATCTTCTCCGCTGGTGGTGCGGAGACCATCGAGGGATTCTGTTGCGCTTTCGATTCGAAGAGGACAGAAGACGGTGCGTAATGGTATCTCACGGCAAGTATGACCAAAACACCAGCCAGACATAGCCAACCCCATTGAGAACCTGTCTCGGATCCGGCACTCATGATGGGGAAAAAGTTGTACATATTCAGTTTGCTCAAATGATGTGAGGCGATGAGAGGGAGCGCGACAGCTCCATGCCACAGTCAGTCTGATCTATACCGCTCGATAGCCATTCTCATTTCCTAGGATGTCTGGACCCGGAAACACTAGAAATGGCGTCTGTAGTGCATGTCAGTGGCGCTCGTCCTTCTCCGGCTGCCGTGTGCTGTGGGCAAGGTAGTCGTCGTTCGGAGCTGTGTGTAACAATGGTTCGTGTGCCTGGGCCGTGTCGGCTCAGCCTCACCTGAAGCAATTATGAGCAAGCGTCTAGAGCTTCATACACTAATTCTTAGTTCCAGGAAGTCGCCCATTCTACCGCATTGTGGCTGCGTGTGACGAGCGATATGTACTACCGGCATTTGGGAAGCGACGGCCTCTCAAGTCACCCATCTTTGGGAAACTGCTCTTGCTGTATGGATAGCATGATTTGCAAGCTTGCAAACTGCACTTTCTCTGGGTATGTTGTAGACGTTTGCGACGAAAGAAGGAAGCGGGACGCGCCTGGCCGTGCCACGCCACATGTGGGGCGGACTCGCCTGGGCAGACATCGCAGGGCTGGAGGGCTGGGTGGCTGGTCAGCCGCAATACAATAAACCCAATGCATAGAAGGAAGCCTGGCTTGCAGACGCCTTGTTTGGGGTGGCTTGCAGAGCACGCGTCCTCACGACCGGCGCACTCGCATCGCGCGCTCATTCGTTCTCTACCCCGCACAAATTAGAATGTGTAGCTCCGGACCACGCAGTGGCACGAACTACAACACGATTGCGTTGAGTGCTGAGCAAAGTATGGGCCGGTGAACGCCTCGATATGCGACGACAGACACGATGGCTTTCTGAGCGCAGCTGAGCCCAAACTTAGGCACAGTTCGCGGTTCGCTGTTTATGCTCGTGACGCAAGGTGAGGCCGACGTCTTCGATCGTCGATGTTAATGCGCGTAACCTGGCTTTCCCCTTGGACATGACCAGAGTTAACAGCCGTAACGTCTCTTTACATTTGCTTAGTTCTTCATCGACCGAAGCCTATCATGGACTCTATGTTCTCGTCTAATATCCGCGAACACGGCAGCATACCGTGGGACGACAACTACATGAAAATTGGCTCCGGCTACGATCTCCACAAACAGCAGTCGTTGCGCTCGCCTTTCTGGCCATGTCACCCTTCCTCTGAACTTCCAAGTA